TGGATGTATTCTGCGGTAAACTTGTCTTCAATTGAGTATTTTTAGTTCTTGCTGTCACAAATTGACCAAAAAAAAAACTATATTTGTAAATATGTTCTTGCAGTATTCCTTTGTTAAAGCTTTTTGCAAAAAAATATATCGGACAAAAATTTATATTATAAGATGTCATTACTTTTCACTGTTAACTTTGCAGTTTATTAACCCTATCAACAGTTCTGCACATGGTTTACTAACTGGAATACAATTTTTACATATCTATCCTACGAGAACACTTCTGAACACTAATTTAAATTTTCAGATTACTTACAATATTTTTAGGAATATTTATAGGATATTACTTAATAATTTACATGCATATTTTGCAGTGCCTCTATGCGATTTACATCAAATTATAAAACAAAAAGCATGATGTCTTAACAATAGTATAATAATAAGATCTTCTGGCAAAAGAAACATGAATACCTTAAACCTATCATTAAAGTGTCCAAAATATATAATTGAAAAAATGTATAAACATATAAAATCAAGAATTAAAATTGAAAAAAAAAATATAACAGTTTTTTCTATTTTAGGTTAAATTTATTTCTTGGCCAGTTGATAAAAATTGTGTTCTATTAGAAAATGAGTTAATATTCAATCTTGCATGCTCATTCTTTTCAGATTATGGTAGATGCTAGATATTATATAATGGAGGTATTTCTCATTAGAACTACACTTTTTTTTATAAGAACACATTTGACAAGAACACTGAGGCTGAAATCGCTCAAAATTAAGAACAAAATAAGAATAAATTGAGGCTGAGTAAAATGTCAAAATGAGGTTTTTATTATATTTTTTTTTTAATAGACAACCAACAAATTTATCTGTACCTTATTTGCAGTAGGTGTTACTATGTAATACCCTCTATAATGCAGTAAAGTAATAATTTTACTGACTGTAAAATAATAATTTTCTATGTTTGGAAAGTGTGTAAAAATAAGAACAAAATAAGAATATTTTGAACCTGAAATCGGCGAAAATCACTGAGACTGGGCAAAATTTTACTGGTTCTTAATAAAAAAAAAAAAGAGTGTACACTATATTAAAGGTTTTTTCCTGAGTCGTCCAGATGATGCAGCTAGGGATGCAGTTAATAAAGACAGAGCCCAACACATGATGTGATCTTCCAGTGCTTTGTTGGCTGCATGATATATGGACTCCTATCCTCTAATTACTAGCAAATTGATTTATACATATATCTGTGAACTGAAACCTTTCTGTGCTGTGTCTCCCATCAATCATATAATTGCAATGTTTTGTCAAAATGTTGTGCTAATTTAGATCCACAAATTTTTCTCTTTATTATTATTCAGTTTTTACTACAATTTTTGTAATGAAGAGTACAGAATAATGTATGCTAAAAATAGAACATTATTATTAGTCTTTTTTTAATGAGGTTTCACACAGAAATTGCACATATAATTTAATAATATCATTTTTACTATAACCTTCACTTTTTAATATTATCATTATCATTACTGACTACCTAAATTAATGAATTAATGAATAAATTAATGATAAAGTATCAGACATTAATTTAATTATTTTTTTTATTGTAATTTTTATTTTACATCAGTAACATCGAAATTGCACATATAATTTTCTAATATAATTTTTACTATAACCTTCACTTTTTAATATTAATTATCTTCACTGACTACCTAAGTGAATTATTGAATAAATAAATAAATAATAATAAAGTAACAGACATTTATTTAATTGTTTTTTTTATTGTTGGAATTTTTTATTTTACATCAATAACTAAAAATCTTCTTTGATAATTTTTTTGAGAAAACACAAACCTCAAACTAACACACTTTGATTTTAAATTTATTTTCTTCAAACATTACCAACATTAAATCATTTATCTGTCCATTTTGTATCTAAAAATGTTTCATTCTGAAAATCAACCTCGCAGAATTAATTTATTGCTCCCCTGCCATCAATAAGAACAAATAAATATGAAACATTTGTTAAGAAAATAACTTAAAACTGAAGTTTGATTGGAGCAGGTGTTACGGTCTATATTAAAATAGAAATCTGATTGAAAAGTTTTCTGATTAAATAGAGACAGCTATGAATCCAATCCACACACCCTTCTTTTGGAACTTTAGATTCTAATATGTTAGATAATTGAAAGAATTAATAAGTGATATTAAAATTCGTTGGTAATATTTGTTATTATGAAGGTCATATAAATTGTTTAATTTCAGTTGAAAAGCCATCTCGAGAATTTAGATTAAATTATGATTGACAGATAGAGAATACAATTTTTGTTTGCACTTTTGTAGATATAAATTCATTCATATATATTGAAATTGCATTCATTGATATGTGACTAAAGTAGCAGCTCTTAGGTATGTACCCTAATCTATCTGTTTAAATATAACCTTATCATGTTTTAATGTCTTATAGAACCCTTGAGGGCTTACATTTCCATTACGCACTTCTGTATATGTATACCATTTACACATAGGGTGCATTTTAATGTCCTTTTTTAAGGAGTTAGAAATCGGTTAAGTAGCGTCATTAATCCAGATTCAGCCGAGAAGACGCATTTTACGTTATCACTACCAAATGCCCGCGATCCCGAAAGAGCTGTTGTACGAAATTATGAAAAGACCCGATGCAAAAAGCTCGAGAAATGTCAAATATGCTAATCTTGGATGTAAAATTTCATTTGCTGAAAGCATGCATGTTTATAGCATATACATACAAGTGTAAATATTTCAATGGAAACCATCGGAGATGTTTTGAAACCATTCCGCTTACTTCAAAATTGATAGGAACGTAGCAGGCAGATTGCTCTACTCGCACGTTCCTGAGATCAAGAAAGCCTAACTAACTTTGACTGTTTATTGATGTTTTGTGGATGTTTTTATTAGAATCAATAACATTGATAATGAAACCCACAATGTTCGGGTGTAGAGTAGCATGCTTGTGTTTGTAAATGAGTTTGTGGAGATGGCGTAGTAGTATCCACATAGGGTGATACTGAGTAAAGTATACGGAATTGTTTATGTTTCATTTTATCTGTGAAAACTGATGCATGAAAAGTTTCATCCTCAAGCCGCCTTGAAATTCTAAACTCTCTCATTAAGATTTTTTTTAATGAATTATCAACTTTTAATTGAGATGTATATTGGAGTAATTCAGTTTGATTTATTTAGATTTTTTTCTACAAAAGACTTCAACAAAAGCATTTAAAATTTAAAAAGATATAGGAACATTAATATTTATGTGTTTATTTGTGATGGAAAACATTCACTCTTTCTTTTTTTAATAATAAAATGCTATAAACAATAAACTTAAAATTTAAGTTGATACTTTATATATTTTGAATTGATTGTTTTATCTACCAATAATAATTTTGACAATTCATAAAAATTGTTTCAGTTTTTATTCAAACGCCACAAGATCTAAAACCATCTTACACCTAGATGGAACTACTTTGCGTCATCTAAAATTATATGTAGGGATTGATGCCGGGTTGAATGCAAATGTCCTACAGTGGAACCATGCCAGTCTCTGTTTAAAAACGCTGTTATGTTTCTCAATTATGGTAATGGATACGCATTGCCCAGTTGGGCACCGGCGCCAAGAACCAAACTGCTAATCAGAAACATTAACTAAAAGCAAACAGCTAAATAGGATTTTCAGACAGCTATGCAAGTTCTCTCCTATTTTAGTTAGTTTTTTTAAACATGTTGAAGATCCCATCTGTACAATGAAAAGAAAAAAAATATGTTTAACTAAAAAAATCCATGCTAGATTTACAATGCCAGGCATTTAATCTGATTTTAATCCGTAAGTCTTTATGAATTACTATGTGTCATGGTTTTAGATCCCTCTTCGTAAAATGTTAGGAATTGGCGATGTTTAATTGCTTTTTCTTGTCAGCGGTGTATCGCACCGTGATGCAAATTTATACCGGTCTCTCGTTTGCACGTAAACCTTCAGTTCTTGATTACAATTGGATTAAAAGAATCACATGTTGTTCTAGGTCAGAAGGTCAGTTGTTATAACTTGATAAGTTTGTAGGAGATGTTTTTATATTGGTTTATATTTTGTGAATGGTGTTAAAATAACTGTGCCTCAGGGTTTTGCATTTGTGGTTTCGCTGGGTTTTAAGTATACTATAAAAATTAGCAAGTGATCAGAACAACCACGATAATTAGGTTTAATTGTTCTTTCAATTATGTAAAGCATAAGGACAGTGCTAATGCTCTCATTCCAAGGTTTTCAAAGGATAAGAAAGAAAACACTTTTTTTTTTAAATTTAAAATATAAATTTGTGTCGTGGGAGGGCGTATGCTTGACGATTTTGTAGAGGAGCTATATTTGTTTTGGTTTGAGGAGTAATTTAATAATTTGCATTAGACATGTGCATCCTCTCTTTGCTTTGCTTCCAAGCCTCGCAGACTTCATTGATTCAAAGAGTGCAAATGATTTTGAATGAACTTCACCTGGACTGAATCATATGTAAAATCCAGTGACTATTTTTAAGAAAAACACTTCAAAATTGTTTACAGGTAGCTTTATATAAATACTTACATATGTTATAACTATTTTGAAACATTGTGTCAATGTCTGTTATCCAAGTCAACTTTCGTTGTGTACATCAATTTTATATCAAGCCTTTATGTCATTTGCATTTGAGTACCTGATAGGCTAATCCTACTTTAGTTTAGTCATTTGCATATTAGTTTGCTCATTTGTATATTAACTGTGTTACTGTATATTTTAATAAGTTTATATTTTCTTCCTCAGCATATTTTTATCAGTATTTAACTGTGTTTCTATTTTATATTTGTTCATTACTATATTTATTTAACTTTCATGACATCTGCATTTGAGTATCTGATATGCATACTGATTTATTAATTTATCATATCCTTTATTTGCATTTTTTGTGCTCATGTGCATAATATATTTGATCTCTGTATCATATTAATATTTAAATGTGGATCTTATTGTTTTTACAGATTCTAGCCTACTCTGAAGGTCTGCATGGCCGATGGCACTTCAACGATGTGCGAGCAATATTTTCAAGGAGATATCTTCTACAAAACACGGCTTTGGAAATTTTCCTATCCAACCGAAGTAAGCAAGTCCTTTTGGCATCTCCTATTTTCCCAATTTTTTTTTTCCAATTAATCTCTTTTATATCACAAATCTTGATTAGGTTTGAATTGAAAATTATGAAGACATTATCTTCTATTACTGACATACCTTTGAAATTTAAAACAATAGGCATCCTGTTCAAAAAAATCTAGAAACATTTATTTAAAATGTAATCAATTTAAGCCATCAGCTTTCAATGATACAAAGATAAAAATAATTCAGTTTTAATAATAATAATAATAATAATAATAATAATAATAATAATAATAATGATAATAATGTTACATTTATACAGCACATAATGCTTCCCCCAGCACATAATGCTTCCCCAGCTCAGGCATACAATCTCAAGTCCCCCTGTCAGTACGAAAATCCTTGAATTTTATAGCGGCCAAATTTAATTGAATTAACAAAGAATATAAGAATCATGTTGTTTATGCTTACATATGGTATTAGAACAATATTTTCTAGATCTGACTTTCAAATGAAAGCTATTAACCTGCTTAAGTAAAAAGTAAAATATTCAATTTTATATTTCCTATATTAACTTTGGAAAAGGCTACTAATTGATTGTATTTCAGTAATTATCTAAATGTTTCCTCAAATGAAAATATTGCCCTTTTTTCTAATTATCTAAAAATGCATTCCCCATCTTCAATGATTTTAAGCAATGCGAAGTTGAAATCTTTTTTCTACCTTGTTCTACTTAGGTCATCCATCATTGTCGAGGTTTTCCTCATCGGCTGGGCACCCTAAAACCATTCCCATCAAAAGCAAAAAGCTATAACATTCATCTTGGTTAGGTTTCAGATATTTGGAAACACTGCATGTGGACATGTCACATTGCCTTCTCAGAGTTATCACTCAGCCAGCTAGCTTGACTACGATTTCTATTAATTTTGCTTTTAACACTTCTCAACCTACTCTTTATATGGCTAATACTTACGTTCTCGAATTTTCTCCGCTTCTTTTATTTAGTTAAGATTATTAATATGAAATTCATTTATTCAGCATTTATTTATGAGTTTGACCTCTCCAGTTCTAGAGATTTTATTCATTACTGCGCCAAGTAATAAAACAAAATAATATAAAAATGATAAAATTATTGTGCATCATGATTATCCTGTGGTCATAATTTTAATGTTTAATAATTTTTCGTGAATGATCTTAAGTGAAAATAAACAATGAATTAGTAAATATGTTTAATTTGATCTTTTTCTCAGCGTCCGTGATGTTCAACTTGGCGAACAAAGCAACAGTGAAGAAAGTTGTCGCTGCTCTACCGAGAGTTGGCGTTGGTCTCAAGTATGCCATTCCACCCTCAAGGTACGACATGGTTTTATAAGAGTGATCAGGGGCGGATTCATAGTGTCCTCTTAAATTTAATAAAAATAAATGTAAGAAATTACATTCAAATTGCAATAGCTATACAATTTTTGGATCTCACTACCAGCTGTAGTGTGGCTAATGTGGTCTGGTCCCTCCATCTGTAGTCTGTCTATGGCCCCTATATTTCACATATTGAAGCCCTGTAAATAAAGACTACAAAATTTGATTTGGTTACGATGACATCACACCTTGACCATATATAGGCTATCTTGACTATATGGGAAAACAAAAAAGTTCCTGTCAAGAAAATTTGAAACTTAGTTTGAATAGACATTTGATCCACCACTGGCAATCATGATTCCAACAAAAAGTAGAAAAAGGTCTTATAAAATAAATTAGTATTTTACCAGGGTGCGGAATTACTTGCTAATTTGTTGGTCATATCTCATTTTAAAAAATCATGCTGGAAATCATTTTTGAATTTTTTATGCACAATCTATAAAGTTTTTTTTACAAAGCTCTTGTAAAATATATTAGTATTTTACCAAGGTGTGGAATTACTTGCTTACTAATGTGTCGGTCATATCTCATTAAAAAAAGATTATGCTAGAAATCATTTTTGAATTTTTTATCCACAATCTATAAAGTTTTTCTATCAGATGTCATGTAGCCCTATAAGAGGTTTTTTCATTAATTATTCAATTCAATTCAACTCAACGTAATTTTCATTTCACCAAAGATACAACCCCAAAAAAGCACCCCCAAAAAAGTGATAGTACAAATGGTGAGGGACCCGTTTAGAAGCCGAGACTTGTCTCAGCTGTCCCTTTAACTAATATTAATAATTATTATAAACATTATCATTATATATTAATAAACATTACTACATTATCTACCCCATTTTACAGACGAGTTTCGCTGGCAAGCTCAAAGCAGCTGTTCAAGGCATCAACAATGACGCAAGCTTGGCAGAGGAGAGAGATCTCTAACTTTGAGTACATTATGTACCTCAATACCATTGCAGGTGAGGGTTAGGTGTACCTCAAGGTCAGCCTCATACTTATCAACTTCATTCTCATTAATATCTTCATAATTATCATCTTCATCATCATCACTCATCATCATCACTATCTATTATCGATGGAACATTAGCTTCCATTACTGTAATCATCTGTCATCATCATCATCAGCATCACCCACTTCACCATTATCAACATCATCATTATCATCTTTATTTACACTGTTAATTTACTAATTTTTTCTTTGTAAATTTCCTTACTAAATCAATGTATTTTATTAATATTTAACAATAATAGTCCAATATTTTTTGTATAAAAAGAAATTATTAGAATGCTTACTGATCTGTAGTTAGCAACAATTTTTAATTAATTGTTTAAGAATAATTTTTTGTTTGTAACAAGGAAGTATCCGTCTCATTTTTGTTTTAATTTAAAAGCATTTTTAAATCGATTTTCAGTCAAATGAGTTAAATGCCATTATAATCATCGAAAGCCTACACCCGCGATATCTGCGTCATTTTGTGGGAAATTGTAAAGGCTGCTACAATTATCAATTTAGAAACTATCACATTAGTCGTTGATGGAGAGGGGTGTAACAGAAGAGTCCCCAGGGAGACCGCAATTATGCCGTGCTTTGTTACTCATTGATCTTTTAAAAAGGAATTTGAAATAAAGTCCATTTCAGTCACCGGGCTAAGCCATCAATCACCGAGATGGAAGAATAAGATCGTGCCATCCTTTAGTTTATCCTAAAAAAAAAACGTTGACCATAAATTACTAGTTGGCCAGCAATGCGGCTTTGACGATTTTATGGTGCACTTTGGGAAAAGCAGTAATTAAGTGTTCTAAAATCTAAAATCTAGTACTCGCTTTTATTCTATTAGTACTCGCTTTTATTCTATTAACACACAAATCCAAAATGTGCATACTACCAATTAAATCTAATTATAATTGGCAATATTATATAGAAATTTATTTGTCATTATAACTAATTAGTTCTAAATATACTGTTAAGCTAAAGTTGTTTTTTTTTAAGTAAAATTTTTATATTTTTATAGCTTTCATTTGAAAATTATAATGCGAAAATATATTCCTCACCAATTAACAGTTGCATAAATTAATACTGTTATTAAAATTTATTCATAAATTCTTCACTTAGCTTTTAATTTTAAATATACTCTTTAAGTTAAGCTAAGATTTTGTATCATATCTGTCAGTAGTCAGACAATTTTCTAAAGCTCTTTCCAGATTATCAAATTTTCTTTAATAAAAAGCTGTAAACCCATATATAGTCATGATGTGCCTATATATGGTCATGATGTGATGTCATCATGCCCATATTTAGTCATGATGTGCCTATATATGGTCATGATGTGATGTCATTATGATCATATTTAGGCATGTCACATATGATGTCTGAATAGGGCTTAATTCACCAAACAAAATCTGATCAAACTTTTTGTGTCTGACTGTACGCTTGGCTACTGTGGATGTCATTGACATTACTGTGACCTACGAGGTGTATAATTTCAGATATTGACCCATTTTATTTGCAGGACGAACTTACAATGATATCAACCAATATCCTATTTTCCCTTGGGTGCTCACTAACTACGAATCCAATGAATTAGATTTGACACTACCAAGCAACTTCAGAGATCTATCTAAGGTAAGCACTTATGTTCTTAAATACTGAGAAACACTTAACTCAGATAGTATTTCTCGTATGAGAACATGCATGCTGCATCATAGAAGGATGTTGAACTGAAGGTGGGGGGGGGGGGCACTCTCTTTGATTAGTTGCAGTGATTCTCATTGGTTAATATAGAAAGTGTGGCTCTCTTAGGTTTAATTACAGTGATTCTCATTGGTTAATATAGTGACCATTAATCAGTAAATGATTGACTTCTTATAGGATTGCCTCTTTGGTTATAAGAAAGTAGCCCTCATCCATACTAAAGGGTGAACCCCATTGTTGGCTCTGAGACATACTTGTGAGGGGCTAATCTGACAGGTTTTGACGAATTTCGGAAGAGGCTAGCAGCCGGATACAGGGGGGGAAATACAGTACACCCTGCAATTCGAAGCCCCTCTAATTTAAGGCCACTTTTTTAAAGAACCAAACAGCATTCTTCAATTTATTAACACTCTATTGTTGGAGGAAACCCTCTATTTGGAGACCAAACCCCAGTGTCTGGTCCCAGAGGTCGTTTTGAGAGCGAACTAAGCTTATAGCAATTAAATGATAATGTATAAATGTTGTCATTGTTACCTCTATTTACATTTTTAACCCTGAAAAGAAATATAAAACTTAATTGATAATTGTTTCTTACAAATTATGATTGCTATGAATCGCACATATTTGTTTTCTTCCTTTCAGCCTATTGGTGCATTGAATCCTAGTCGGAAAGCTTTCTTCCAGGAGCGTTATGAGACTTGGGAGGATGATAAAATCCCTCCGTTTCATTATGGAACCCATTACTCCACTTCTGCATTCACCTTGGGTTGGCTTATCAGAATTGTAAGTTAAATTATGTTGTTGCTTATTGTATAGATAGTGGTGATGTAAAACAGTAATATATTCCTATCATCATTATCATTATTAAAATGACATTATCATCATCATCATCATCATTATCATCATCATCATATTATCACCATCATCTCATCATCACCATTATTTCATTTCATCATCGTCGCCATCATCACCGTCATTGTGATTGTCCCAAATTATCAAAATTTATAATAAATTTATAATACTGTTACTGGATGTCTCTTGACTGGATGTGGTCATACATGCTCTTTTGACGATTCTTGTGTATATGCCAACATATTTTATAGTAATGAAACTTATATTCCGAAATAGAATTGAAATGAAATGAAGTACATGAAAAGATGCTAAACAGGTTATAACAATGCTTTGGTCAACTGGTGAAGATGATGATGATGATGAGAATGATAATTAAAATGATGGTTAAAAGAAGATAATAACACTAATGATAATTATTTTGGTTTTTGGTGAGCAGTACATTTTTGCAACATTTAATAATTTATGGTATTTATTTTCTTCCTCAGGAACCCTTCACCACCTTCTTCCTCAATCTTCAAGGGGGTAAATTTGACCATGCAACAAGAACGTTCTCATCGGTAGCAACTGCCTGGAAGAACTGTCAGAGAGACACATCAGATGTCAAGGTAAAGTGTGCTGCCCTCTACAATTGATATAATCTGTTCTAAAATCAGTCAAGCGTTACATACTGATACTGTAATAATAATATTCTTTTTTAATTACATTTTCTATTTAATTGTCTGCTATATTAAATAATTAATGAACAATAATGTCTGCTTTATTAAATGATTGATTAGCACACTGGTAATTATATATTATGTTTATTATCACATCTATCATCATCAACATTGTCATCATAATCATTATTATTATCATCATTATGATCATCATCATCATCCTTTTTATCATCGTCATCATAATCACTATCATATAATTATCATTGTCGTCATCTAAGTTGAATTAGTAACATCATCTTATCTTTTTCACCCTGTTCTGTAGGAACTTATTCCAGAATTTTATTATCTACCGGACATGTTTGTGAATGAGAACAAGTTTAATTTTGGAAAGCTAGAAGACGGCAGTCTGGTTGATGATGTTTTCTTGCCTCCATGGGCAAAATCTCCGGAGGATTTCATTAGAATAAATAAACTGGTGAGTTTACTGGTGTGAAATGGACAGCCTTCTTGCATTCAGAGCACACTACTCTAGCTGGGCTAATAATTATAATGCAACATTTATATAACACATAATCGTAAAACCTCAAATTGTAGCCCTGGGCTTCTTTTCGAGGCTACTTTTGCAATGTAAAATAGATTTTAAAATGCTTTTCAATTAAAACAAAAATGAGACGGATACTTCCTTGTTACAAACAAAAAATTATTCTTAAACAATTGATTAAAAATTGTTGCTAACTACTGATCAGTAAACATTCTCATAATTTCTTTTAAAAAAATATTTCAAAAAATATTGGACTTGTTACCAAACAACATACTGAAAGATATTAATAAAATTCTTTTCAAAATGAATTCTGTAAATTTTGACAATTACTATTATGAAACAATAAATAGGGCCACTGTAACATCAATCTGTATCATGGAGTGTATTAACCGGCATTAAACGACTGTATAAACCAAGGGTGTATTTAATTTATTTTGTTTCTTTGAAATTCATGTACAGTGTAGTGTATGTACTGTACTATCTCAAAAAGAGATGGGCCTTTTTTTGAGGCTACTTTTCCAAACTAAAGAGGGGGGGGGCTTCAATTCGAGATGAGCTTCTTCTCGAGATTAAGCCCATTGGGCTTCTATTTGAGGTTTTAAGGTATTACAATAAACTGGCTCTATGTGCCTTACATTATTCCCCTGGTCACTGGATCAAACAATTTAATATGGAACATACTCAGCTCCCTGGCTATCACAATTCCATAAGCCGCTAGAATCAGCACTTGGCATTAGATCCTACTAAGTGCCTACCGGTATTCATTCTTTATTATGGAAAGTTACAAGTAAATAATAGTTCTTTAACTGGGAAGTTTCTAGAAGCAAGCAGAAAAATTAATCAAATAATCTGGTTTCAAAATGTAATGATTTATTTTCATTTTAGCATTAGCTTCTTTCTGCTTTGTTTCCCATAAGGCTTTGGAATCTGAGTTTGTATCATGTCAACTACATCAGTGGATTGACCTGATCTTCGGTTACAAGCAACGAGGACCCGAAGCTGTCCGAGCTACGAATGTATTCTACTACTTGACGTATGAAGATAGTGTCAATCTCGACTCCATTGAGGATCCAGTTATGCGTGAGGTAAGTTTAGTTAAATGTTTCTTCAATTTTTCATATTCACATTTATATTGAAGGTCATGTTAAAGCAGTACATATCAAATCGTGACCAAGGATTATAATTTTAATAGTGTTACATTAGGTGTATTTTAATGTTTTTGGAAAATGTTTTTAGAGAAACAGCATTTAGAATTGGGGAAGGAAGATTGTTCATCATTGTAGTGCCCGAGTATCTAATATTATGTTGAAAATAATTAGTGTTAAGGGTAGGTATGTGAATATGAGTTCTAGATCAAGTGTGTTAATTGTGAATAGAGTAATTGGGAATAAACATATTGCATAAATGATTAGGAAGAATAGAATGCATAGCAAAGAATATAAATTTACCTTGCTGGACAATATTAATGTCGGTGAGTTTGAGGAGATTCAATTTGCAAAATAAATGGGAAGAATGAGACCGTGGTGGAGTGCCATCTATGATCCTGATAATCATCTTCTTTTCATCACTTCACATTTCATCACTTTTTACATTTTATCACTTTTTATATTTCTTACAATCTTTAGTGATGGAATACAGTACATACAGTACCTTGTGTGACTTAAAGTCGGGGATTCAATCCTTCAATGTGGATTTCGCTTTAGTCCTGAAGCAAAGTACTTTATCTTCATTGCTTTTTTCCACCCAGGATTATAATTAAATGAGGCATGTCATGGCGAAATGGTTAAGTTGTCGCACAGTCCAGTATTGAGTAAATGAGCTTTAAAATATGGGAGTTCAAAAAATTGCCTAAAAATCCAAATTTGCTTTTCACTATAGATCAACAGTTTATTGTCTTGTACCAAAGTATTAGTTCTGGAAGTGGTCAACAAACTGTTTATTTAATGTTATTTTGATAGTTCATTCTATTAAACAATGTACGCACAAATAACTTTGAAAGGCAATTACTCAAAATTTTGTTTATCTTGACTCTAAGACTACTGTACATTCACTTTCCAATAACTTAGGCTTGAAATGTCCAATTTCTATGAATGACCCCTCATTTTAAAGATCACATACTCATTTATCTGAAAATACCAATAACTTGAATTTCAATATTTGCTACAACTTAGCCATTTTGCCACAACATGCCTCAAATGGGGACCTGGTGTGGCTGCCTGCTACTGCACCAATATGCCAGCAATACTTAAGCATGGACCCAATTACCAGGGAAAACTTACAGCGCTTCGTAACTGAAATGATAAGCACTATACAAGTAACAAGTTAACATACTTGCTTATTAATTTTTCAGGCTATTGAAAATCAAATAAGATCATTTGGACAGACAAATTCTCATGAATATGCATGATTTCTATACTTCCACCATCAATTTACACTATCATGCTTTACTTTCATCTTCTGCAGTTACTAAAATATTTGTTTTAAGATTTTCTTTTCTGATCCCGCAGGTGCATCAGGAGCTCCGGGATTCTCCATGGAAGCCTCCAAAAACCTGTTGATAGACATGGATCCACTTATCCGTAAGGCTTCAATCTATTTAGTCACTCAGACAATCAATCAATCAATCAATCAATCAGCAGACCAACCAATCACTCAGGCACTCTATGAACATATATCACTTTGATTCCATTCTCAGAGGTTACCACCATTATTGGAAAACCAATATTCAATGAGCATTATAAAATACAATGCTAGCATACATTGATTTGGCAATTACAAAAAGATTAGTATTTGCCTATATATCCCTATGGATATAATGCACTCTTCCAGATTTTTTTGCTTTGGTGGATGGATATAATGCTCTAATATTAATTTCATATTTATAAACATTTTTTAGGGTATATGATCAATTCACATGATAGATTACATCCATAGGATGCCCCTAAGCCAAAAATCTCAAAATTCTCAAAAATGGATATAATGCGTTTTTCCGAATCACGGCAGTATACAATGAATAAGCAATAGTTTGGACTGTTGTGTTCCTTGTTCCTAAAACAAGTAAAACTAAATTCAACTAAGCTACAGTACCACGTATAAGGCCAAGTAAAAAAAGAAAATAGTTTCTTGTCCTAATATTTTGAAAAAAGGAGAATGAGGGAATTTTTTTGTAAACTCCGAGATGTCAAATCAAAGATGGTGGATGGAAAACAACTACTTTCTCACTTTACCAAGTATAGACACATTGAAAGCAAATAAAAGAAGCACTAGACATGATTCATACCATATGTATCCCCAACCACGAATGTTCAAGAGAGCAATTTTACTAATGCAAGTTAGCTAGATTTTTCGTAAAATAAAGGAAATAAAAAAAAAAAGAAATAATTAGTAAAGCAGAGGAAATGAATGCGTGAGAGGACAAGAAACTAGTAATTTGTTTTATTTGGCCAAAAGTTAGAACAATATTTAATTAAAATAATTAAAAACATATGAACTGGTGTTTTAATCAGCCTTAGATAGAAAGGGAAGTGCTTTCCTTTGCACATATTGTAAATAAAGTCAGTGAGGTGAGAGGGTTTGAAAGACATAGTTTCAAAGTGCAGGTGCAGATCCAGTAGGAATTCCTCCCCCCACCCTCATTTTGCCACTAAATTTTAAAAATTTCAATGCATATCAATGTCATGTGCTCTCAATTATCTATTCTGAAACTGCTGCTGTCCTCCCTTGAAATATTCTGGATCCACCCCTGAAGTGAATTAAAAGCACTCAAATTTATTGTACTAGTAAATAAGTTTTAAACATTTCTTTAATCATTGTAGAAAGTGTATTATTATGATGACTATGTTGACTATAATAAAGTGACTCTCTAATTCCATTTTGCAGTGTCCCAAAATGGAATGCATCGTCGTCAGATCACCGATAACATTGATCCTGATATCAAGAAGAAACCTCATTGCTATGTGGTGACTGCTGACAACCGTTTCATTATGGCCTGTGGCTTTTGGGACAAGAGTTTCAGAATCTATGTAGCAGACTCAAGTAAGTCACTCAAATATGATAAAAATATAAATTACAATAATTGGATTTTTATGTCTCTTTTTTTTTCAATATTTTTATAGACACACTAAGAAAAAGGCTAAGCTAATTTTTCAGTAAAACTTAACAATTTTGAACAAGAGCTTTCATGATAAAACAAACAAAAGCTTTCCCCATTTTGTGTATTATTTGATTTCAGCCTTTAATTGTACTCAGGGTGATTACATTTTTCAAGACATTAGGATATGGGTGTAGGATTTCAACCACATGACCACATTTGATAGAAATTTCATTGAATAGTTAATAAATAGTGTCATTAATAAGATAAATAAGTGTCAGTCATGATGTAAAAAAATTGAAATTTTCTACATTTGAATTTCCTTATTTGTAAATATAGAATGGAAGAATTAGTTAAACTGATTCTTCCGTGAGGTAATTAAATGAAGTAAGTAAGTTAGTACATCCAGCACTGAGTATGTTTTACATATCTCTGGATATATTTCATTATCAAATCTCTTATATTCTGTAAATGATTTCTTCCATTTGTAGGTAAAGTGAGTCAAGTGGTGTATGGTCACTGGGATGTTGTGACATGCTTGGTCCGGTCCGAATGTCCAGTCAGCGGTGATTGCTACATAGTGTCTGGCTCAAGAGATGCAACTCTGCTAGTGTGGCATTGGAGTGCTAAGTTACAGTGGGTCCTGGGTGACTCTCACACTCATGGTAGGCTGTGATTTAAATATGTTTCATACATTTGAGGCATGTTGTGGCAAAATGGCTAAGTTGTAGCAAAAATTGAAAATCAAGTTATTGGCATTTTCAGATACCTCAGTATGTGATCTTTAAAATGAGGAGTCATTCATTTAAATTGGACATTTCAAGCCTAGATTATTGGAAAGTGAAAGTACAGTAATCTTAGAGTCAAGATAAACATGATTTTGAGTAATTGCCTTTCAAAGTTATTTGTGCATACATTGTTTAATAGAATGAACTATGAAAAATAACATTAAATAAACAATTTTTTAACCACTTCCAGAACTAATACTTTGGGACATGATTAATAAGACATTAAACTGTTGATCTATAGCGAAAAACAAATTTGGATTTTTAGGCAATTTTTTGAGCTCACATATTTTATAGCTAATTTACTCAATACTGGTCTGTGCGACAACTTAACCATTTTGCCACAACATGCCTCATTTATTTGGTTGTTTAATGCTCATTATCATTATCATTACCAGCATCATTGTCTTGATTATTGTGATCAAATTTGTCATAATCACTATCATACTATTGATGTTTATAAATGATTGTTGATTTCTGTCATCTAACTATCATCATGATTTCTATCATTATTATCATCATCATCATCATCAATTTTCTATCATCAATATCATCAACATGATGATCATCATCATCTTTGTCATCGTCATCATTATCAACTTCATCATTCTCATCACCATCAATATCATTGTTATCATTCTCATCATCCTCTTTCCTCATTTATTGGAAGGACTCTAGATTCTGTTCTGTTATTTTTATGTTCAAATTAGTAGAAATAATAATTGAGTTTTCTAATATATTCCTCTGGTATTCCTTTTCTTCTTTCAGGAGAAGTTGCCACACCGAGGTCAATCCTCACTGGTCATGACACAGAGGTGACCTGTGCTGCTGTTTGTACTGAGCTTGGTTTAGTTGCTAGTGGATCCAAAGGTATTCATACAATTTAACATTATTCTCACAATGTATCGTCTACCTGGGCAGATGCAGAGGGGTGCAGACGGTTTCATCGCACCTCACTAAATTGTATTAAGAAAAATAATAATTTTATTGTGTTGTTGATATATTCTTTTTATCATTATGAATATAGTAACAGTAAGATTTTTAAAGTATGAGGGTGCAATTTCCGGCCATCTAGAGGTCTATATTCTTAAAATTTTCCCTCGCGCAACTCTTACCGCCAAATTCTTCATCCGCCCCAGGTCCATGGAACTGTAACATGAAAACATACCACTGTAACTTTGGTCAGACTCATAATTTTTTCTTATGCTTTGCAGGAGGAACTTGCTTATTACACACAGTAACCGGTGACCTACTTCGAACCTTGACACCTCCAACTGAGTGCAGTTCCCCACGACTTGCTTCAATGGCTGCAGAGACTGGAGTGATCCTGATAGCTTATGATCGTGGACAGATCTGTGCTTTTACAATCAATGGGAAATACCTTGAAATGGCAACAGTGTCTAGCACCATTAACGTAAGTTTTGATTTTGTCTGAAACAACGATACAGATTCAACAGTGTTTGATGAGACTTGCCTGAGAGGGTATGCTTTCTGCTTATCTCTTTTTTGAGAGAGTTTCTATGACTGACTGCAACTCTGCGACATTCTTTGCTGGTCCTCACTGAGTATACTTAAGTTAGTGTTTTAATGCCAAAAGTGTGCAAAGGTAAACAACAAATGAATGAAGGAATAAATAAAGAAATGTCTCAGACACATCTGATAAAATGTCTGTTGGATGACCCGACAAGAGTCTGATAAAAAAATAGACCGACACATTTAGCTTTGTCCATATATGGGCATGATGATGTCATATCATATCCATATATGGACACATATTTGTAAAATAAAAATTGATAGTGTGGTGAGGATCATACTAATGATGATGCTATTACAGTAACTGTACCTGCATTTTAACTTCAATGCTTAAAGTTACATGGTGAGATAATTCCACAAAATGATTTAGATCATTGGTCTTTTATTAAGATAATCTTGAAATAGGACAGAGTATATATTTTTATAAGGTGTTTTGAATACCTTGATAATTTACATTGTGAGCCAATTTTTTTTTATATTTTAAAATATGTCTCTTAGGTAGGACTACACTTCTGCCTTCTGTTGGCTTAAGGGGGAATTTGATGATAAGATCATGATTGTCTCTTCAAGTCAAGTCAAATTTATTGGCCAATCAAAACATTTACAATAAATCGGAAAAAAAGAAAACACACAAGTGACAGGAAGATGGTCAAGAGACTACCGTACATATAGGCCAAAAGGCCTGTCTTTTGACATATTGAATAACGAATAATGTAATTAACTGTAGTTTTTAAAAAAATTTTCTATAATGTTTTGCTTAATAAATAATGTTTTCCATACTCCAGTGTTATTGTGTGTTTAGTCACATGGTTCCAAGGGTCTACATTCTCATGGGTTTAACCATTACGTTACGTTAGCTTTTTTATTTTTCTGTTTAATACTTAATAAATAATTCATAAAAATGCTTTTCGTACTTCTGTATTTTGTCTCAATGGTTCAATTCATTCTTACTTTCTCATGGATTGAACTGTTACATTAAAATTCTCCCTTACCCTTTTTTTAAACAAATTTGTTTATCCCAGGCTTTGAGAATGAAGTCGGAAGGTGATTATTTCATTACCGGAGGAGAGGGTAAAGTGGTCCAAGTTTGGAGAACTCATGATCTTCAACTGATGTATACGTTTCCCCTTTGTGATGCGTCCATCCTCGCCTTAGATATTGCACATGGTCAAAGGTATGCTAATTTCTTTTCCTCACTTACCACCTTCCTGAAATTTCTTCATGAACAATAGAGTCCACATTC